AGGGAAAGAAGACCATTGCACCATGGGTGTATTTTAGGCATTCCACATCCCAAATAATCGTTTTTTACCTGAAAATGCTTCAGTGACCTGAATCCTGGCCCCCTCAAACCGGCTTGAATGAAGCTTTGGGCGAAGGAGAGGGAGGGGGCTGGGAAGAGGGGTGATTGGGGAGGGCAAGGGGTTAGGAGGGGTTGAAATGCAAAGACTCTATCTAACAAGCTCTTGCTTGGAACAACAGTAAGCAAAATCAAAACTATAGAGGAAGATTAGTGCAGAGGGAAGTCTGCATGGGAGTGAATCACCAGCTCAGTTACCGGGGACCACGATGCCCCCGTTTCTGTATTTTGTAGCCATCACATTTCTGAACCATTACAACGGTGTGGCTGTCAGGGGTGAGTGGCTCTGGCAGCGGTTAAACCACCTATATGCTAACAAGCTCAGCAATCAGGTTGTGAAGGGTCCTGGCTAGAGGAAAATAATCCAACCAAACCTTAGACCTCTGTCAGGCTGTGAGGAGAATTATATTTTTGAACTAGTCTACAGTGTGGACAGGAAATGACCTCTCCACAAACTGCTTCTTTAAAAACAAGCAGTGGTGCCTAAAGCTATCCAGCTCCCCTCTCTCTCTCCCTCCCTCCTTCCCTCTCTTCCTCCCTCCCAGCCTCCCTCCCTCTCTGAAGCTCCTGCTCTCTCCCTCCCCTCCCGAGAGCTCTCCCCCCTCCTCCCTCCCTCCCGCTTGCTCTCCGTCTCTCTCTCGCTACCGAGGGCTCCCACAGCAGTTCCCAGCCAGTGTGCTCAGCCTGCCTGCCTGCCTGCCTCTGTGTGTGTGTGCGCGCGCGTGTGCGAGCGTGTGCGTGCGGCTACTTTGTACTGTGAAGAACACAGCCCATGTGCTCTGCATGGACGTTACTGCTACTCTGTTTAGCTTGATTTTCGACAGGCAGGCAAGATGTCCAGCACACCACATGACCCCTTCTATTCGTCTCCTTTTGGCCCATTTTATAGGAGACATACACCCTACATGGTACAACCAGAGTACCGAATCTATGAGATGAACAAGAGACTGCAGTCGCGCACAGAGGTAAGTACTTCAACCTTGCGTGTGTGTTTGTGTGTGTGTGTGTTTTTTTTTTCTTCTTCAAACTGTGCCTGAGCTTTTCCTGGGTGGCTGGCTGCATTCTGCGGGAAGTGTCCCACTAGATACTACCACGTACGTGGAAATGAGCGCCAGCATGAATCCACTAGTTTGAACGCTGGGTTTCCAGGCACAGCAACTCTTGGAGCTGGGGACAGTTTCTGTCGGAATCTTGAAATAGACAACCCAGCACTTGATTCGCCTGCTGGGTGTCCAGAAATGCTGCTCTACCAGAACTCTGGCATTTTCAGGCTCACAGTCGGTCCCCTTAGTGGTTCTTGAGATAGAATTCCGAGGGATTTGGTGATCATTTGCATCCAGCAAAATAATTTTTTTTTTTTTTTTTAACAAATCCCAGAGGAAGTCTGCTTGACCGGCATTTGCTTTTCAAAGTTATCAAAATCGAGGTGAAAAGGGCAGAAGAACCACCCTTCGTACTTTTCAGAACTAGCCCTGGAGGGACATGTTTGTCTATTTCCGTGTTAAATTCAGAAACCAGTTGCTTGGGGCAAGGGGTTCTTGACTTTCTTCCCTCGACGGTGGGAGTGTCTCCCAGGAGCTCTCACTTCCACAGGAGCCGGCTCAGAATTCAAGTCAGCTTGAGTTTTTGCATATTGTGATCTTGTGCCCCAGAGAGAAGCCTCACCTACTCGCAAGCAACTCTGGGAGCAGAGAGGAGACAAGACTTTCAGAACTTTGTAAATGCAAAACTCCAGACCGCCTCCTGCAATTTAAATATTTAATGCCAGTTGACTTTTCCTCTGTGCTGGCTGGGCTGGTAGGTCCTACTGCTGGGCTGTCCATTTGCCTTTAAGTTGGGGCTTTGTGTTGAAGTGTTCTGAGAAGGAGTTTGTTATAGGGGCACCAAAGTCACTTTAAGAAGTAGAAATAGCTGGGAAATCTGTCTTCTCTGCAGAGTACAGATACCCGGAGGGTCGATGGCAAAGAGCTTTCAGGGAATAGCTTTGGTAGAAGCTTGACTCTCAATTCTGGAAAGGGACTCAAGGTTTTACGATAAAATAAAACACACTTGCTTGAATTGTTAACAGAGCCATGGAGAATTCATGATGTTTAATGTATTTAATATAGCTAACAAGATGTGACCTGCTTTCTGATTGGCTAACTGCTGGACAAGGACTGATTAAAAAAAAAAAAAGCTGGGCTGCCTTTATCACTGCTATTTTCTTTATATGTTAATACATCATAGATGTTAAGTGTACTTGATGATACCGTTGCTCTCCCCAGAAGCCAGTAGCTTTTATACAAGTGTAAACTCTGTCGTGCTGAGGGTGGTGAGCTGTTGGCAGAAAATGATATTTGTGTGTTGTTGTGTGTGTGTAGTTGTGTATGTATGTTACAATTTGTATATTGCATTCAGATCTTTGCAACTGTGTATTGGAATCTTAAACTCTTGCACAAACTATTGATTGTCGCAGCCTGCTTTCAGAATTAGGAGGACAGAATATGTCATACAGTTCAGGCACACATAATTGCAACACAGATTTGGAGTAAAAAAATGTCTTAAAAATATGATTAGTTTTAAAAAAGAGACCAGCGACCTTTATGGATCAATTCTTGAACAGCGGCAGGATTTAAAAAGAACCCGTGTCCATCTTACATTTTAGAAAGTTTTTGAGGAGTTGCAGAAGGAGGGTTTTTCTCCATCCTTCTCGGTTAAGAGAGCAGGCAGATTTCTCTGATATCTGTGTTCTCCTGTGCCCCTTAATTATCACCTGGCCAGCTCAGAGCTAGAATACTTATCTGGAGGACTTCTCTATACTGGTCCTCATAAAAATCTGCAGGATGCAATAAGGTCCCGCATTTGTTTCACATTTGAGAGAAAACCTTTAAAGTCCCCCATTCATAGTATTGTTTCTTAAAACTGACATGTTATCTTTTGTGAGAGCTAAACTCAGGAATTCCTAACTTTTGGATTCTGGGGTATTACTTTTAAGTAGAAAACCTGCTTCACAGCTCAAGAAACTGGAAAGGAAAGCTTGCTATGACAAATCCTAAAGATTTTTTTAAACCTCGCTGACTGACAGAAAAGCACTGAGAACTGTTTCCTGGTATGTTCTAGAGCCAACCCTGCACTCTTCTTCCCTTTATTAGATCTTTTTTTATGATTATCCAAATAATTGCTCTGACACGTCCGTATTTCTTTGCCAAGCAGTAAAGGATGTCACAAACCCAAGGCCATAAGTTTGTTTTCATTTCATATGGAAAAAAAAGGAGAGAATCCAATAATTGCTCCTAAGACATTCGATATTAGATTTTGATCAAAGTTTGTAATGGAAAAGATATTTAGAAAAAAAATAACTTCTTGAAAAAGTTACATTGTGCATTTATCAATATTAATGGTGACTATTTATGGTAAAGTTGTTCTGAGCCCTAGAGAGGGTTTGGTTGGAATAAAGTGCAGTAATACCCAGCAAGAGTTATCAGTTTATTCACACACAAAATCAAATAGATTGTTGAGTGATTACTTTTAGAATTTAACTGATGCATCCAACCATTTTGGACAAGAGAGACGCACTTTCTTTCTTCTCTCTCTCTTCTGGTTCCTGCTTCTATATTACATGGTATTATTTCATTGACTCCTTATATCGCACTCTCACACACACATACACACCTATGTAATACTCTCGATTCTCCATTCTTTTTTGAACGTAGACTTGCCTAGAAAGAAATTGCAGCAAATCAGTCTCAATGAAAAAATTATAATCACGTTTGCAGAAATTTCCTAGAAACCTTCTTTATGGAAAGGAAAAAATGTAGTAAAGAAGCATGGTGCTCACCTACTCTCCTTCCATAGATGACTCCCCCAGAGCATTCTCTCCTGGGGATTGATGCATTTCTTGCAATTAAATAAAATCAAAGCCCTTCAGAAGCTGGGTAGTTTTAAAAAACACTGGATTGGGAGTTAATCCTTTTTTGAACTTGTTTCTTTCACTCACATGGATCTTGGTTCCTCATAAGCAAATTATCTGCAAGACCTCTTTAATTTAAAAATTCAGATTTTACCAAAGTTCAGGGTTTGGTTTTCTTTAGTGGGAGAAAGCGTTGTGAACTTGAGTAATGAGCACAGACATTACTTCTTCGCTCACGGTATTTAGTTCAAAATCACAAATGGTACTGAAAAAATAAGGTCATAGTGGAGAAAATATTGCAGGGAGCGACCCTGCCAGTCTTGTTTAAGGCCAGTGCTGGGAGCAAGGAGTTCCTGGGACAAAGTAGGTGCTCAATAAACATTTGTGAACAAGCCGATCATGAATCAGTAGATGACAGAGGAGAGAGAATTTAACTGTATCACTGAAATTGGCACCTTTCCTGAGAAGCACAATTCTGATGCCTTTGGGGGTCCTGGTACCTCCTGAAGCTGCTTTAGGGACCTGCTTCCAGTTCCCCTAAAAGTGCTCATCTCCACATTCTCCACACTTATTGCATCATGAGGCAATTTAGATCCCTAATCTTTTTGGCAAAGGAAAGCAAGTGTCTAAGAAATTATGGGACCTCATTTCTTCTTAAAGGAATTTGAATGCATTACGAAGCAAGCAAAAACAACACACATATGCTTTAGATGCTGTTGGCTATTGTGGGAAATAAAATTTCTTTGCCACACCAGAATCTCAGTGGAATTTCATAAAGAAGTACATAGATGTTTCCCCCTTTTCTTAATTGAAATTAAGAGAAACCCTTGGAGCTTTGTGTCAGTTTTGGTCACTGTAATTCCCAGGCAGTAGGAAGAGGGCTATGTTTTCCATTGTGTATGTTACCATGAATTGACCTGAGATCTTCCAAAATTCATTTACTGTTTGAATGGTCTTGCTGTCTCAAATGTATTTTGAAAGAACGAAACTGCACAATTTTTAGTTTAACACTGCACACAGAGTACCCGTCAGATAGGACTTAAAAATGTGTCCTAAAGATTTCAGGATTTGTTCTGTAACAAGCTTCAGTAATAACAAAAATAACAGTATTTTTTTCATTTCCTGAAGTCTGTGCTATAAGATTAAAAATATGTATAGGTAAAATATGAGATCATCACAGTGAACTTTATTTTTAGTGAAAGGATTTTAATAATGTTGGATTTTTATAGAATTTAAGAAAGTTTATCAAGTTATACAAATTTTGGATATTGCAGACAACTCTTTTTACCTTATTTCCTCATTCAAATGACCAAAAACGTCTCCATTCCAATGAAGATGTTTTTAAGTACATAGATTTTTTTCAGGTTGGCAGTATGCTAATTTTAATAAAATACCACAAACACCAGGAAAGTGTGGGTACTAGGATGTATTTCTTCTGTTTTGAGGTTTTTTTATTTTTTTAATCAGTATTACACATCCCACTCCCAAAGAGAAAACTGTGATTACAATGGGAAGCTGCCATGTACACAAGGATTTTGTTAGAATTACGGTTTTTAGTTTTACAGGATTTAATATGAACGTTGAAAATATTTGAAGACCTTGAAATTTCAATCTGCTGCTTTCACCCTGCTTCAGCTCAACTCTCCAACTCCCCGGGGAGGGGGTGGGAGGGGGTGGAAGGCTCTCAGTCTTTTCTTTCAGCTACATTTTTATATACTTTAGTCACAGGGTTTCCCGTTGTAGCATCATGTTTATTCATGGAGTAGCTTAGTATCATTGATGCTCAGATAGAGCCTAGTTAAAATGAGATTAGGTATTCTGGATAGGTGGGAAAAAAAAGAAAACGGCTTTGTGATAAACTTGGATTTTTTTTTTTTTTTCCTAGAAATTTAGAAAGAAAAATGGTGCTGTTAACGCTGAGGCATATGAATGATTTTCAGTGTTAAACACAGAACTTTCCAAGTTTTTCGAAGGGGGTTGGTGAGGAGTAGGGGGAGGGGGGATTAGTAGTGGAAAGGAAAGCTATTTTGAAAATGTTAAATGAAACCAAAAGTGGAGTTTTAAAAAATAAGAACT